CAAGGATTTACATAAAAAAGCATTATACATTTATTTATATAAAACAAATAATAGAACATCCATTATTGCATTAGGATATTACAAACTGAGAAAGACATGGTAATGTTATAAAATTATTGGGAGATGTTAAAGAGAAAACAGACATCTAACCAGATAAAACAATTTTTTTTTAAAGAACTAAAGAACAAATGTGGATGGCAAAATCATCACTTCTTAATTGATGACAGAAGGAACTATAAAAATGACACAAATTAAATCTGAAAAGACCCACTAAGACCTAATATAACACTTCAAAAGAAAAAGATAGGTAAATGAGGTATGTATAATAACACAAAAGCATTTAACGATTTCAATCAGTAAAGTGTTACTAAAGTGTAGTTTTTTTTTAAGGTTTGTGAATCCTTCACGATTAGTAAATAAGCCAGAAAATCCCTAGAGGTTTGGAGGTGTGGTTTTACAGAGGTAAAGGACTCTTTTCAACTTCTTCAGGCATATAGGGCTAGACCTGTATTTTATAGACTAATCAACACTGGGTGGGTGGTGTGGTCAGCATCTGGCCACCTTACTTCCCAGAACTGTATACCTAGTACCTGCTCAAGGATGAGTCGATCTGAGAGCCAAGGTCATTTTTTAAAACAGTCCAGCTCCATCAGGACCCGAACCCTTGACCTTCCAATCCGCAGGCTAGCGTCTAGCTGCTACACCACAGCGGTTCTCTTCAGAAGAATGGTTAACATTTCTTAGAAGCCAAAATGGGAAGCCTAAATGTTTTCAAGATAACATCACAAACATCAGAAAGAGGCAGTCATCATCTTTAAATGAAGATGAAAAGAAAAATGACTACATTATGTCATACATGTAAAATTACCAGTATACAAGTTAAGGAGGAGTGATTAGGCAAATGTTTAAGAACGCTTGGCTATTATTCAGGAGTCTCAGTTTGAATCCTCGATAAAGTGATGGATTTGTTTCCGTTAGGAACAAAAAGAAAGTCCTAACCTGCACAGTGCTTGGTAACTGCATTAGCTATGTAGCCCTAAATCCTCAGCCTCAAGATCCCTCTGTACTGTATCTCCCTAAAAAGTGGTAAATTCAGACGGTGATGACAGTTTTTAATGACACCGGTGGATAAACGCTGCTGGATATCATAAGATGTAGAAAAGCATGACTATCTATACCAGTTGGCAAAACACTTGATGATGACTGACAATAGACCAGAATTTAACTTAACAGACAATCTATTTTGACTGCAAGAATAAAACAAAGCTTAAAAAAAAAATTTCAGCCTCAGGACACAACTAAATACTAAAACCATAGATAAGTTACACACAACAGGGAAATGTGACAATATCATAATAAATCTGTTGAATGGTATAACAGTGAAGAAATCCCAAGATTTATCAAAAAATTTTCAATATCACGACGACGTAGAATTTATAAAAAGTATTAACAACAATAAAACAGAAAGACCATAAATATTTTAAAGAAAATATTTAGTCAAATAAGTAATAAAAATACTATTTTAAGCTTTCATGAAAAGAACATATGAGAAAATGAGGCCTTACATAGGAGAGCAAATATATGGCTTTCTTTATTGGAGGTTGGGGAGTGGGGTGGGCCACAAACAAGGATGTAGTGGTAAAGTTTACATGTTTTCCCTGCCTTACAATTCAGTGCCTAGTTCACATTTTAAGAAAAACTCTTCACAGATTTATATTACAGTGATCATGACATATCGTGGTCAGAAGAACTCTACAAAATGATGATAATGTCATACTGTCTTCAGTATTTAACTGGTGTGTGTTCATGCTATTAGGATGAATCTTCCTCATCAGCGCTGTCATCCTCAGTCTCTTCGTTTCTGCTGGGGTTGCCAGCTGCTCCAAAAATGTTGCTTTCAGTAATATACCTATACAAGACGAAAAAGAAATAATAGGAATAGACTGTCAATTTCAAGCCACTAGTTGATTATAAAATAAGAGTAATAGAACGTTTCACATGCTTTGAAGCATACTGGGTACACGTTTCTAGCCAAATATTCTTTTTTAATCAACCAGTCAGGTCTCGATGGGTGATGTGGTTAATATCAATCTGCCTTTATTTCCATGAAAATTTCCTGGAACCCATTTTCAGCTGAATCGACCTGATAGCCATTAGATGAACTACTATTTGCTGAAAAAATCTATTGTTTATTCTAGAGTCAAGAAGATAGAGAGTGCAAGACCATATTAACAGGTTGAGCTCAGCATGCAGTAAATACAACATCAAGATCAATGCAAACAAAACCAAAACAATGCAAGCTGGCAGATCCCGGGCCCAGCGTATTTACACCTGAATGGTTCTGACCTGAGATAAGTTAGAAATATCTAGGAAGTGTGCTCACAGAAGATGGCATAATAAGGTTAACGTTAAGTTGAGAGCATTGACTTCACTGCATCGAGTTTTATCCCATATGGCTTGGTCTCTCACAGCAAAACGGATAGCCGCCTGCCGAGAGCGCCATACAGAGCACAAACTCCGTAGGTCCAGTGATGACCTCTAGAGATCTTCGTAAAAATTGCACTTATGAACTGAACGTCGCTGCCATGAAATGAACCCACGACCTTCAGAGCGAGAGGCAAACGGCTTGACCACCTCACCTGAGAGTGAGGCTGAGTAGTCTCTAGGCATGGCGTCTGCCATGAGTGCTGGAGGCCCCGGTGAAGGCTGGGATTTTTTTCACTTGGACCTTAAGTAATTTCCCCTGGTCTCTGGGTAGTAAGATTGAATGCCCATGTGTATTGTTGCACATGTTAAAAAAATCCCTTGGCAGATGGAAATTGAAAAAAGTAGCCCAACCGCGCTGCCCAAAGTTTGGAGTTCAAATACCCAAGGTATTTCAGGATCCTCGCTGGTGCTACGGAGTTCGTGCACTACGCTGAGATTGTTTGGACTCAGGCTTGATTTAAAGTAGAATGGAGCACTTATGGGTTACTACCTTTGTGCCATGATGTTGATCTGTTGTATAAACTAAACTAAGATGGCATAATTCACAGAGAAATAGAAACCAAATGTTTGAAAACAAGTGCACTAATTTGGCAACTTTTACCATTTTTAGGACATCTAAACATAACTATGTACGAACTTTATAAACAGCATATTTATACAAATTCTGAGCTAACAGTGCTAAAAATGGACATCATCTGAAACCCATATATATGCAAAATCAACACTTATGAGAGTAGATGTCTGAGAAAAGCCTTAAGCCTAACCATCCAAGATCAACTAAATAATGATACTGTCAGACAGATTGTGGGAACAACACTTTGTACTAGATTCATCGAGAAACAGCAGATCAAGTAGTTTGGCCATCTCATTGGAATGCAGCAACATCAAATACCATAACTGGCTTTACATCTCAGAAGATCTGCTGCAACAGCAAGATGTTGGCCACAGAAATGATGGATCGCCAAAATTAAAGACACTTTACGCCTTCACAACATGACAATAGCCAGTCAGCATGCAGTGGATTGCAAATTATTCCTCCCCATGTTGCTTAATGGCAGAAGTGGTTTATGATGACAATTATGATGAATAAATGAATGAAAAACTGACATCCCTGCACTTGGGGCATTCCCATACGTGCTCTATCCCCTTCTACGGTGGCCAACAAAGAACAGTATGCTAATAGTACCTTTTGCAACCTATTTAAAAATCTGCCTATGTTTTCCCCACAGTGTTGAATATCTTCATATTAAGGCAAAACTTCTGGCCTGGAAAAACACCGGTGCAGGCCAAACTTTACAGGCTGCTGAGAGAATTACAGAAGACAGTGAAGTTCATACTAAAGACAACACTGCAGATATAGATATTCTATTTCAAGCAAATGAAAGAAGAATATCTTCCAGGCCCACTGTTCATCCATCACTGAATTAGTCTGTCAATGTATGGATCCTTGGTCTATTCTTCTGCACTGTCCATTTGATCCTAAACAGCCTTCACCACTCTCCCTTTATCATAATGTAGTTCACCACCTATATGAGCGGCAGCAGCCAATCTATCAGTATGCTACTTACTGCGCACACCTGAATAGAAAATCCATAATATGCTCCTGATCAGAGTCTTATCAAGCGAAGCAAGCCACTCTACCTGTAGGAGGCCAGTTTATACTTTCCAAAGCATGCTCTGTGAGTCCATTATAATGACCGCATGCTGGGCTGTGCTGCCGTTATGGTCTCCGCCTTCAATACTTATGATGATGACGACCTGATAGCTAATATTTTATTTTAAATTGCCTGCTTAGGAGCATTTGAACACAACCCCTGAACTTGAGATAAGTGTGCTAGCCACTAAACAAGTCTAGGTAATGGCATTGGTTCTGTTTATATATTTGCACAGTGTATAAGTTTATGTTTAATTAAAAATAGCAATTGTTATTTTTTTTAATAGCAGGAGAAGATTCTTGACAAACAAGCATGGAGAGATGTCAGTGCATTAACAGACTGTAGACAGTTAGCCACAAAAATAATTTCCCTTAGAGATTCTACATAATAATGCTGAAACCACCTTGGAATCTTAGGCTGACTGGTCTATAAAATATGTGTCTAACCTCATGTGCCCAATGTGCCACTGGCACATGAAGGAACCTTTACTTTTACTTTGAACAGAGGTATATAAGAAAACAGCAAAAGATTCTTGACAAACTGGCATGGAGAGGTGTCAGCACGCTAACAGATACAAGCTGTTGGGGATCACAAGATGTGAAGAAGTATGATCAACAAGCAAAGGATTTATTTATGATAAAAGAGAAGAGATGAGGTAAGCAAATGGAGCTTTGGACTGTGAATTACTATGATAGGCTACACTTCGTATTCATATCCCTCCATGAGACACCTATAATAACCCACAATTGAGCTTCGGTTATCTAATTAATTTTTTTAAATTACATGGTCTTACCGACATTTACTCTAATAGGAATCAATAAAAACAGAAATGAATGGTTTGAAAATGTGCAAACGTACCTTCTGATATCATCATAGTTGAGTTCTTTAATATGGAGTTTCACCTGCTTCCATTTTTTATGCTGTTTGAGTTCAGCCTGAGTTTCCAGTTGAAAGGCAATTTTTTGTATGCCTACTGCAACCATGGGAACACCCTTGTGTTTGATCATAACACCCAGCTGATGGTAGCAGAGTTTTCCAGGTCTGGTTTCACCCTTACACAAAACCTGGCCCACAAAGTCAAGTCCATCCATTGGCTCAGGATCACAATAAGGTCGCAGCATAATCTGATTCAGCAAATTTCTAGAGAACATGTCAAAATCAAAACATTCATTTAATTAGGTTCTGATCTGCTTATTTTTTAAATTTGTATTTTCAATTATTATTAGTTTGCATATGGAAAAGCCTAAAAATCCTTTTTTCTTCTTCTGCCTTTAATTCTCTGTGAACTAAAAATTTTTTTTTTTTCAAAGCCAAATTTCAATCACATTTTTTATAAGCCTAAATGACTGAGGTCATCGGGTCATGACATAAGTCACCAGATGTATGTTTTTTATAGGCCCCAGGGAATGTATTCCATATAATGTTTCAATTTATCCATGGCTTTTGATTACTCCCTTCATATATTGCACGCACGCACGCACACACGCACACACACACACACACAGTTTTTAATGTTTTCATGTTGATGAAGAAATTTATTTATCTTTTCAAATTTGTTTAATGCCCTGTGTGAAATTTTTGTTTGTTTGTTTGTTTAGGCTTTTTCCAAACTTACGCTGGGTCATAACACATTTTTAAAGCACTTCCAGGGTGATAGGGTTAAACTATCTGCAATAATTTCTTCTTTATTCATATTCCCTTCCTTGCACCACCCCCCCCTTCCCCACTTTTTTTCATTCCCCCTTCCCCCCCCCCCCCCTTCCCCAAACCAAGTCCACTGCCTCCTGCTTTCACGAATCTACCTTTTCACCCGTACCATTCATGCTCCATTTAAATACATATGTCCTCTCGATAGCACAAAGCCTGGACAGTATTGCAGAGACTCATTTTAGTGTAATAATGTTGAAACATTTTGTGTGTAATATTTACTCACCTGTCAATAGAGACTCTGTATTTTTCATATATTGTTCTCATATTGGTATGATCAATTGAAACTTTTCTGCACAAAGGGCAAACCTGAAACACATATGTCAACTGTTTCCTCGAGGAATAAAACTAATCACATTTACTGAAGAAAATAAATTATTTCTAAAGGTAATAATGTCCCTGGGTGAAATATTCCTGTGGAAATTGAATGGTTTTATAATCTGAATACCATTGCTCGCCTATTTTCCTCACACTCTAGTTCTTTCCAATTATGTCACTTTTATGACATTTCTTTCTTGTTTGATAATTTATCTTGACTTTTCTGTCAAGCATCACCATCCTATGATCTATATCTAAACTCAAGTTTGGTATAACTCTTGAATCTGTAACTTCATGAAAGTCTCTTTTTCTCGTCAAGATGAAATCAATTTGACTCTTAGTATCTGGACCATTGCATTGATACCATGTGAAAACTTGTGAAGCTTTAAGTTGAAAGAAGGTGTTGGTAATAACAAGGTCATGTTGTGCACATATATCTAAGTCTTTCACCATTTGCATTTCTAATGCTGTTGTCTCCATAATTGCCTAGGTATCTTGTAAATGTTCTTTTGTCTCGTCCTGTCTTACTATTGACATCGCCCATCATTATCAGCTTCTCATTATTATCTATCTTATAAATTTCGTCATCCAGGTCCTCAAAGAATTGATCTAAATCCTCCTCATTGTAATTTCCATTGCACCGAGCAAATATTTGATAAAACCTCCAAACTATTTCTTACTTGTAATTTCAAGCTGATAATTCTTTCTGAAATGTAGTTAACACGGAGTATATTTTTTGCAGTTTCGGAATCAATGATAAATCCTACTCCATGCTTTGTACGTTGTATTTCCTCTACTTCCGATTGAATCAAAATGTGATTTTTATGTCGTTTCTCTATTTCTCGTACTTTCATTCTCACTTCTGATAAGCTAAACACTTTAACATTATATTTCTCTATTAATTCTATCACTTGTTCTTCTTTATTACCCCATCCACATACACACATGATTGTGTCCCTACCCTAGTCCTAACCTTCTGCTGGCCTCTATTTTCCCTATTTCTAAAATATCTATTTTCATCTTGGGCATTTCTTTTTGAACAGCTAAACCCTCCGCCAACTTGCCGGGCCTGTCGCGAATTCATATTCAACTGAACACCTACACTAAGCTAACACATTTAACACACTTTCTAGGAATAAACTCATCTTTTTGTCACATTTTTAGAAAATGTTGTTTACACCACCATCTTGACCACATACCAGATGATAGGAATTGTACTATGAATAATTAGACAATTTTACTAACATTGTCATTAATATGTTGGATTTCATATTTCCTTAGTATAATATTGATTATTCTCCTTGATTTTATCTTTAGGGCCAACTTCTTCAAAGATGGCAAGGATGTTTTTTACCCTTCTCTAAATGGATTTTAGTTCTAGTAATACATTGCTTGACCTTGCCACGCAGGTCTCAATGACTGTTTATGTGCAACTAGTTTTTCACTGTCATAGGTAATTTACAGAGATTCATATGGTTAGTTCAATTGTTTTCTTTGGTTTTCATATTTCCTGCACTCCATTTTCTCTTACTGGGAGTTTCGACCTCTAGGAAGGAGAGTGGCTAGTGGTGTTTTTTTGCCAGGCACTGCCTTCCTCTATTGCAGCAGTGGAAAGGCATCCACATCAGGTGAATTTCCTGCCCTTTTTTTTGACAGCTCAACAAACTTATTTTTTTTAGACTCTGAAGTGTGGTTAAAAGTATATAACTATTTAACTTGATGATGACCAAAAAATAGTCATTTTCCCACTTACTACTTTAAATGGGACATTTTTAAACTGTTCCCTTCTGGCTGCTTCTGCTTTTTCAGCTAAGAGAGCTGAGATCAGTAATTCTTGCTGACAGTCGTAAACAGCTGCGGCAAACTCATCACGGCCCATGGTTTTGATATCTTCAATAACTTGCTCCATCAGCCTGGCCCTTTCTCTGTTCTCACGTTCTCGTTCCAGCACACTGTCCATGGCCAACAACATGGACACACCATTAAAAGCTCTGCTTCTTCCTGAAAGTAGTAGAACTTGCTTAGTGACAAGAGTAACATGTGAAAATACTACAGTATATCTGAAAAAGAAACAACACACAAGAGACAGGTGCAGCATTACTTTCTAAATGGTTGATGCCAGCACTATTGTCAAAATCAACGCCATCGGGGTTTCTGCCAAATCCCCTAAATTGAATTTTGGACTTGAGAAACCATGTTCACAACCCCCTAAGCCATATCCTAGCAAGAAGAAATGCAACCTGAAAACTTCAGGTTATGACAGGGCACTGCCTTGGCTTGCAGCTAGTTTAGGAGGCAAACTCCAATAGATGGACAGATATGCAGCATGCTTTGTTCCAAATGTAAAGGTGTTACCTTTCTTGTGGAGTAAACAAGGCAGGCCGAGAAAGGGGTCATGATGCATGGGTAATACATGGTCTCTATAATACTGACCAGGTTTTTTGCTATGGAGAGGAAGAATTTCTTCTCTGACCTTAAGTGGCCTAGGAAACAAACTAAGAGGCAGCAGTCCATGTCAACTGGCAGTTTTTCTGAAGCTTAATCGGTGAAGGCCCATGCGGCTAAGTAACACCTAAGAGTCCCTAAGGACAACCTCTGTGGTGAATTACATATAGGTAGAAGATCTTGAGGTCGGCCTCTACTATGGTATAAAGATGTGTTTAAGCGAGACATGAATGATACACGTATTAAGATAGATTTGTGGGAACAAAATGCCTTTTTCACTTCTTTGTCTCAGCCAGCTGTTATATTATAAAACTCTTTCCATGTCATTGCCTTGAACTATATGTTCCAAAATTAGTTTTTTAACACATTCTACTCTAATCTGATGATTTAACCCAGTGTTTCCCAACAGTTATTTTGTTTTTGTTTTGTTGGTATTACACCACACCTAAGCTTTTCTAAAATTAACAAATTGCCCTTCTGTGGAACATTGGCCCCCACATTTGAAAAACACTGATTTAACCCTTTCTAACAGAGCAATTCGTGGGCATCTTAGAAAAACACTGATTTAACCCTTTCTAACAGAACAATTTGTGGGTATCTTAGAAAAACACTGATTTAACCCTTTCTAACAGAGCAATTCGTGGGTATCTTAGAAAAACACTGATTTAACCCTTTCTAACAGAACAATTTGTGGGTATCTTAGAAAAACACTGATTTAACCCTTTCTAACAGAGCAATTCGTGGGTATCTTAGAAAAACACTGATTTAACCCTTTCTGACAGAACAATTTGTGGGTATCTTAGAAAAACACTGATTTAACCCTTTCTAACAGAACAATTCGTGGGTATCTTAGAAAAACACTGATTTAACCCTTTCTAACAGAGCAATTCGTGGGTATCTTAAAAAAACACTGATTTAACCCTTTCTAACAGAACAATTCGTGGGTATCTTAGAAAAACACTGATTTAACCCTTTCTAACAGAACAATTCGTGGGTATCTTAGAAAAACACTGATTTAACCCTTTCTAACAGAACAATTCGTGGGTATCTTAGAAAAACACTGATTTAACCCTTTCTAACAGAACAATTCGTGGGTATTTTAGAAAAACACTGATTTAACCCTTTCTAACAGTACAATTCGTGGGTATCTTAGAAAAACACTGATTTAACCCTTTCTAACAGAACAATTTGTGGGTTTGGGTCCTGATGGAACCGAACTTTTTTCAAAAATAACCCAGGCTCCCATTTGACCCAGTCTTTAGTGGGTACCAGGTATAGTCCTAGGAAGTAAAGGTGGCCGGCATGATGCTGACCATATGACCCACCAAATGTTGATTGGTCAATAAAATGTGGGTCTAGCCCTATATGCCCAATACGGCTGAAGGCAAGGAAAAGGGTCCTTTACTTTACTTATAGACTTTACTAATAGACCAATTAAGTAAAACAATTCTCTGTGACTGGAAGAATTAATCCCTGGCAACCAAAAACACCACTGCTAATTGACTCAGGAAGATATAAACATAATGTAGCTGTACCAACCTCTTGTCTGAACGGTGGACACTTCGTTTCCAACATGGTTGTACTTGATCACCAGGTTGCATTCTGGGATGTCAATACCCTCCTCTGCAACTGAAGTAGCCACAATCACTCTTACAAATCCAGATCTGAACAGCTGAATAATACACTCTTGTCTTGCCTGAGATGTTCCTGGCAATGGCAAATGACATGAGCATAAGAACTTGCATATTTTACTTCACTGTTGGAGCCCCTCTGGTGTAGTGGCTAGACCTGCAGTGTTTAGTTGTAAAAAAAAAAAGAGGATTCTGTTCTGTGGTCTGCAGATATAAAAGTCGTGGGTTCAAATCCAAACGAGCTGAATTTTATTAAAAAATGACCCTGGCTTCCTGATCAACCTAGCCTTCAATGGGTACCATTTATAGTCCTGGGATGTAAAGGCAGCCGGAGTGATGCTGACCACATGACCCAGCAACTGCTGGTTGTTCTATACAATATGGGTCTAGCACTGTATGCTCATAATGCATGAAGGCATGGAAAAGGATCCTTTATGTTACTTGTTACTGCGCCATTGGATTTTCCTGACATGTTATTGGGCATGGTAACAGAAAAGAAAGTTTAGCTGCAATTTGCATTCAAGACTGAAAAGTCTCAAAGTAAAGAAAGATAAACAGCTCAGTCAACCAAGACAAATGTTTAAAAAAATGTTTTTTAAAGAAGTATGAATATGGGGAGAACACACAGAGTGCTGTAATAGCAAAAGATATGAAGCTTCGTGTAAGTTAGTTGAAAGCCTAGGCTCCATTCACAACCCCTAAGCTACAAACGCTCAATGAGCAAAGGAAATATCCCTACTCAAAAAATTGAGAGGAAACATTATGTATCATTTGGGTTTAAAGTAACTGATGCATCATATATTTCTAGGGATTATAAAGTAAATCAAAGAGGAAATCAAAATTAACATTTTGAGAGCATGCATCTTCCCTGTAGCAACATATGGATGAATCATGGACTATCTCATAGTCATTAAAAAAGAAAATAGAGGCCTTTGCGCTGAAATGCTACAGACAGATTCTCAGCACATCATGGCAGAGAAGAGGAGAAATACTGACATTTTAGAAGATCTGAAGATCAAGGAAGACTGGCTAATAAACAGCATCTTGTCTCAGAAGCTGAAATATTTTGGTCACATCAAGTGCCATGGTGGACTGGAAGAAATAAAAGCAGAAGGCATAGTACCAGGAAGAAGGGCCAGGAGCCGATCAAGATGAAGATGGGCTCAGGATACAGGATATAATTGACTCACTGAATAAGAAAGTACATGAGGTGGGAGAGCTGGTGAGAGACCCAATTTCTTCCAGGCAGACCGTGATGAGAGCAACGTTCTGCAAAGGACCTGCTACATGAAAATGATGATGATAAAGTCAATACTAACCTCCTAGCAATTCTGAGGTATTTGAACCAGTGAAGGGGCGCGCATTTAAATCTCTGAGATCTTCATTTTCACATCTGTTTAGCCAAGATGAAAGAGCTTGAGCCAGAGCTTTAGTTCTCACAAATATAACACCTCGTGACGACTCGCCTCTGTTAACCAGGTACTCTGTCAAAGTGTCTGCCAGAATCTGCAGATTTGGATTTCTTTCAACATGCTCCTGCAGCACAAAGTTCTTCAGACCTTTTATAGAAAAGACAGAACTTGATGTAAATCACAAAATACTGCAAATCATTTGTGAATTTTAATATTTAAAAACATTTTCTGCATTTATTTATTTAAAAGATAAAAATCCATCATCAATAAGTGACCATCATGCTTCTTCAAATCTCCATCAGCATGTATCAATTCCTGTGTTGACATCTTTAAAAACATGATTAACAGCTATCGAGAATCATTTCTTATTGTCTTCTGACTTTTTTTCTTAAAAAATGTCTTCAGCAATCAAACATATTGTACTTTTTGTCTTCTCATAATCTAGCCAAAATATGAAATTGCCACTTCAATATGTCTCCAAAAATATTGATAAATGCTGATGTCATTTACTCAATTTGACAATCCATTAGTCACGATAAGGATTTATTTTATTTTACATCTAAGAGGTAAAGATCCCTGACCTTATAGTAGATAGGAAGTCTGCTTTCCTGCCATAGAGCTTTCAGTTTCATATTCCTCATGTTAAAAAAAAATTCTTGAAATATTAAATCTAACCAAGTAATACTGTACTGCAGTATTAATTATGGCATAAGACAATCCTGATCAGAACAAAGCATATTCACTCTCATTCTATTCTATTAGTGCCAGGCATGGTCCCTCACAACAAACTAGAAAAGATATTGAGTAACCATGAAAATGGGATGTCTGAGAAGGGTTGCAGGAAAAGATGAAAACAGGAAAAATAAACACACAACTAATTCTAAATTACAAACAAAGACAGCAAATCAAATGGTTTGTCTACTTAGAAGGCATGTACTAAAGAGAATGATGGAGATCCCAAGGGAGACCAAGAACAAGATGGAAAGATAACATTATAGAAACTCTACAAGTCTAATGTGTCTATGGTCAAGGCGGCCAAAGGAGCAAGAAGCAGAACTTTATATCTCCCTCGACACCTGAAGCAGTACAAGAGGAAGTGAAGAAAGAAAGAAAAAGAAGAATACTGTGCAGCCATGGTTGTGCAGTGGTTAATATGCTTGCCTTGCTATTCCATAGTTACTGGGTTTGAATTCTCAACAAGGAAAATGTTTATATAGCCGACCAGGTCTTCTGGGTTCATCCAGCTTAAAATAGGCACCAGGAAAAGCCTCGCAAACAAAATGTAGCTGGCATTAATTTAACCACATCACTCATCAAGTTCTGATTGGTCTATAAAACAGTGGAGCTAAAACAGCCTTTACCTTTTTCTCTCTATTAATACTTTTAATTTGTTTACTATTCGTTACAACCTACAATTCAGTTATATGAAAATGTATTATCAATTTCAAGGTTTTAACTGTTAATTCTGACTAGCTGCTGATGGACATACTAATGTACCAGAGGTTTTGTGCCAGGGCACTCTGTGGTAAGAGAAAATGAACAAGCTCTTAAGATGGCAGGACGAGTTCAAGACTGATCAAAACCCTCAACTAGGTACCAAAATCAGCTGATCAGACAAGCATCAATGGGTAAAATACACTCAGATAGGGATCACAGGCCATCAACCTAGGCACAAATAGGTACAAATATCAGCTGATCATCAAGACATCAACCTAGGCATAAATACAAAAAAATCAGATGATCACCAAGCCATCAACCTAGGCATAAATACACAAATATCAGCTGATCACCAAGCCATCAACCTAGGCACAAATACAAAAATATCAGCTGATCACCAAGCCATCAACCTAGGTACAAATACCAGCTGATCACCAAGCCATCAACCTGGGCACAAATGCACAAATATCAGCTAATACACATGGCATGAATAAACCAGACCACAAATATAACCAAATACTACTTGCAGCAAAATGTTTGCAGTCGGCTGAATGCGGCATAATTTTTAAACTCTCTTTCTGATACAATTGGATTTGGAATTAAATTTCATATTTTCCAGTAAAACAAAAATTCAGAAAACATCTCTCTATCAATATTCATTATCAACATGTGCTAGGCTGACAAAAATGGGCAGTCATAATTCATCTTACATAATCAGGTCATAGATCAGGCCTGTTTTCTTGACGTGACATGCCAGATTCAAATCCAAATTTTATTTAAAAAAACATTGACCTTGGCTCCCAGTTCAACCCAGCCTCAAATTGGTACCAGGTATCTTCTTCTTTTGTCAAAATCTGCTTGTGCCGCTAGGCGTCGCAGTCTATCAGATGATCGGCAACCGAGCCAGGGCGCGCTCAGTCGCTTCATATGCTGTGATGTTATGAAGTCTCAAGTTGTCCGTGACTCCTTCAATCCATCTTCTTCTTGGTCTTTCCCTGCCTCTTGGTGTTTCGATTTTATGAGGTATAGTTACCAGGTATAGTTCTGGTAAATTAAGGTAGCCGGCTTGATTTTGACCACACTTGGCACCGAGGCCGACTGATGTATAAAATATATGTCTAGCTCTAGATGTCCAATTGCCTGAAGGCATGAAAAAAAGGGTTCTTAATTTTACTCTTTCTTTATATAAAACTACCAGCCGTCACTTATTTTTAGGATAATTCCTTCTCATAAAAAAGATATCATGCATATCCCTTACAGGACGTTGTAGCTAATACCAGCATTTGTAAGCTGTTTGTGTATTTTCCAGGCAGTTTTACATTTAATAGTTTGCCAGTGACACTCAATGTGAAAACCTGAGAACAATATAACTAGAATGTCTTTGCACTGGAACCCACAGGGGCATAGGGGTAAAGGCAGACCCAAAAAAAAGACACAGAGAAGAGAGAGAGTGAAGTTGAAAAGATCTGGAGGACACGGGTTCAGTTGCAAGCAATAGTGAAGGATAGAAATTTTTGGCGTGAGTTGGTCGAGGAGGGTCTTTTTTCTACTAGGGGTTAGAAAGCAGAAGAAGAAGATTGCTAGTGAATTTGCTTTTGAAACTGAACAGTTGATTTTTATGCCACTGACAGATCAACACGCAGCGCTCGGCTGTTAAACCACATGCAGTGGAATCTGACCTGGAATATCAGAATATGAACTGGGTTCAAAGGTGCTAACTCATTACATGACTTAAAATCTTGAAAATATATCAATATTTGAGTCACAGAAAGTAATAAATGGGAAGCTTCTCTTACTGACTGAATCTTGAGTATTAAATTTTTGGTTTTTCATTAAATATTACCACAAAAAACTCTCAGTAGAAATGTAAAATGAATTTACGATACCCTTGTGACTGCCAGATTTATTTAGTGTACACTGACTAAAACTTAAATATAACAGGACACTTAATGTGATGCTTGTGACATGTGAGGAAAAGTCAGGAACAAACTATGCGTCGTTGGGAATGAAAGAGTTAATTTTAAAAAAAATTATGTTTAGAAAAATACAGTATTGACAGAATTCTTCAGTATTTTGAAATACTATTTACTGTAAACCTTAAACTATGTTGTTTTCTGAAATATATACTGAAAGAATTTGTAACTGGTAAAACTTACTATGAGGTACTGGGTAATTTTCACTGTAAGTCTGACATGCATGTCTCTCTGTTCATCCTCGCTAATCAATGGGAGGCCTTTCACAGCTGTCATCATCTTCACAGCCCACTGTTCATATTCTTGTAGCTTCCTGTTAGCTGGCATCATATTGGCTAAGCCAATCAATCCAGCATCATTCAGTCCTGCAAAACAGTGGATTTATACCTATCACATACATCTATCCATCGTACATCTGCTATGCTCATATATATACATCAATCCATCCAACTACTCTCTCCCCCCACCCACACACACACCCATTCATCCATACCGATACATGTGTACACACACACACACAAAAGACACACACACGCACAGATACATTATTGAAATGAACATGCAAACACACACATACATGTAAGACAATAATCATGTACATACAGGACATAAATATGTATGTATGCTATAATGATGGTCAATGAATGGAGTCTGAGAAAGCCATCTCTGTGGTGTAATGACAAACATCACAAACATTTTCATGCCGGATGTCAAGTCTAAATTTGCCCCACTCAACTTCGCACCTATAGTCTTCTTATAAGTTCATGCTGTGTGGAGTTGATAGTTCTGTCTATCCACAACCTATTGTCTCATGTATTTAGTCCTGTCTATCCACAACCTCCTGTCTCATGTATTTAGTCCTGTCTATCCACAACCTCCTCTCATGTATTTAGTCCTGTCTATCCACAACCTCCTGTCTCATGTATTTAGTCCTGTCTATCCACAACCTCCTGTCTCATGTATTTAGTCCTGTCTATCCACAACCTCCTGTCTCAGTATTTAGTCTGTCTATCCACAACCTCTGTCTCATGTATTTAGTCTGTCTATCCACAACCTCCTGTCTCATGTATTTAGTCCTGTCTATCCACAACCTCCTGGATGTATTTAGTCCTGTCTATCCACAACCTCCTGTCTCATGTATTTAGTCCTGTCTATCCACAACCTCCTGTCTCATGTATTTAGTCCTGTCTATCCACAACCTATTGTCTCATGTATTTTAAATCATTTCTGGCGCAGAATATCTTCCAAGCCATGAGGTCAAACTTTCCAGCATCTTCTTTCTTGGTCTTCCTCTGCCCCCCCCCCCTTTCCCATAATGATGTACTCCAGTTTTCTCCTTCTCTCAAGACACAATCAAAGAATAAAGATTGTTTTATTCTGATGTTGGCAGTCAGTTTTCTCTTTCCAGACATATCTTCATTACTCTTTTTATCTGTTCAGGGTGTCGGCATCATTCATCGATAAAACAACATCTCTGCCGCTTCCATGGAAATAATTTTCAACTAATTGCCAACTATCCGTGACTCATTTCCTTGTATAAGGATAGGATTTATATATATATATATATATATATATATATATATATATATATATATATATATATATATATATATATATATATATATATATTATATATATATATATATATATATATATATATATATATATATATATATATATATATATAATAAGTAGGAGTCATTTAAAAACAATATCCGGGTCATAATCTGGGATCAATCAATCAATCAATAAGCCGCTGTCTCCATACTAAAGGTTGGCTACAATGGATCTCCAGCATGCTCCAATCTCTTGTCTTGGTTGTACACTCTCACAGACTGCTGTTCCTCCCTCTTTTGAGCAGTCCTCCACCTTGTAACATTTGTCTACCTAATTCCTCAACTTTTCCTCCAGGATGGTTTTTAAAAGTGTGTAAGGTCTCTTAATGTGGCCATAGTATTTCAATTGACTCTGTTCTATTTCTTTCAGTAATTCTCTTATCATTCGTAGTCTTTCCAGAACCTCTGTCAAAATAAATGACACTGTTGTCTGTTTTACCACTTTTTAGGGTGGTGTAAATGGGAAAGAAGGGGGGGGGGGTCCTTGAGCCTGAGGATTTAGGGTCGCTTGGGTAGTGCTGTCGCCACGGACTGTTAGGATGTTTAATTTTGTCCTAAAAAGAAAAACCCCATCACCTTACCAGGGGTTTGAACTCAGGTCTCCCGCATGACAGCCAGATGTTGTAACCGCTCGGCCAGCCCTTATGTACTGGACTCCTCATGTAAAGAACCTCTGTACTTGACTATAAGTGGGACATACACTTTTTTCTCTTCCAGTAATGGATATATATGCTTATCAATTATATTTGGTTATTCAGTATTGCATAGCTTATTCGCTAATTGTATAAGGTTGTAGGAGCACAGGTTGTCAAAGTGCAATACAAACTGTAATGTACAGTAAATCTTTGATTAATGGTCACCATCCAGACCAGGGCTGGTTGGATAACTGAATAGACTGATAGCAAAAATCTCTTAATACATATATACAGTAACTTGATTTCACTGCAGGACTAACTGAATAATACATACACATTGTATTTACTTTTACAAAACGATCAATATAAACTTCAATGTAAGAGTAGTGATGTAGAGAAATATATTATATTACTATAACAGCTATAAGCTAGCTTCAGTAAAATGATGTGTCATCTCCTCTGCATCATTGAGGCTTGAGCTTTCTGCACAGCAATATTCCGTATCTTATGCGGAAATAGAATCTGCATTGTATTTGCCTCCTCTTGCATTTCAAACCAGTCAATGCCCTTTGATAACATTCTTTCTACTTCTGAGTGGTTAATTGTAGGTTTTGGTTAAGAACTGATCCTTCATCATCATCAATTTTGTCTTCTTCAATGATGGTCACACAAAAAACAATTTCCTCACTGTTCAAAATTTCAAAGCATCCATCCATTTTGTCAAATTCCAACCAAACTGTTATGTCTTCTGGCTTAACATTTTCACTATTTAGTCCTACATTGTTGCATAGTTGCACAATTTCCTCAACACTAACAGTCTTAGATGCTTCAGTTTCGTCAATAGGTTTAGGCAAGAGTTTATTTCATCCATTCTTTAGGTTAAACACTGTAATGATGGATAATAGAAACTGATGGTTAATTGAGTGATAGTTATTCAAAGTTTTAATGTTCTTTCAAACAGTTATAGAAATATTTCTTTTAGCAAATGAATGATGTAGAAAAATATGGAACTGGCACCACATGCCCACAGGCTTCAGGCGTGAGAAGGACCTTTTTGAAAAACACTGAACAACAGATCAACATCATGGCATCAGGGTAGTAACCCATAAGTGCTCCGCTCTTCTTCTAACTCAGGTCTGAGTTTGAAGAAGCTCAGCACAGTGCATAGGCTCTGTAGCACCGGTGGGGATCCTGAAATACTTTAGGTAGATTTTTAAAGCACAATTTGCCTGGGCAGCGCCGTTTCGATTTCCAACTGCCAAGGGTGTTTTACGTGCGCAACACTGCACACGGCCCAATCTCACTACCCAGAGACCAGGGGGAATTACTAGAAGTCCAAGTCAACATGAAAAAATCCCAGCCCTTACCGGGGACTGAACCCAGAACCTCTAGCACTTGAGGCGGACACCATGCCTCGAGACCACGCAGCCCCCTCACTGAACTAAAACAAAATTGATGCCATCTGTAGTACATTCTATGCAGAAAGTCAAAGAAAAATACTAAACTAAAACTAAACTGATGCTACCTGTAGCCTTAGCTTCATGCCACATGCTGTGAGAAAGGGGTCAGAGCACAAATGAACTGAATGATGTGAAGTATATTAGGATGATTTGCTGACTAACAAAGAATTAATAAACTGAAGATGTATCATAATACGATCATATGCACAATATCATGAAACAACACAACCGACAGATCTCACGGTTCAAGCTATTTTCTCAAAATAAGGATTTGCATATGGTTGACCTTGAGTTCACACCTAGCCATTACCTCTTACATAAAGCCTTAACTGTCTCTCGAGCATCTGCATGATCTCAGTAATTCTCTGAACGGCAACATCATCTCTACGTTGTTGCAATCTTCTTTCAGCTGTAATGTTTTAGAGAGAAAAAATGTACAGTATGTGTGAGTGTACAAACATAGGAAACATAAATATTTGTTTTAGCTCTCTTTGTGTACATGTTATGCATTTTCCCCCGTATAAGACAACCCCCATGTATAAAAGCACCTTGATTTTGGAGCCGGACATTTTAAAAAAAAAAAAAAATAATATGATTATATAAAATTATTGAACTCACATTTCATTCATCACAGAATCCAGAAAACTTATCAACACCGTCAAAACTCTCATCCATCTGATAGTTCTTTACCTTGTCTTGGTCTGTGTCTGATGATGAATCACCTCATATATTGCCTCTTCCTCAGTTCCATCTGTGGCATCTGAAATGCCACACTTGACAATGATCTTAATCTTCACATTATCCTAGGATCTTTCCACCCAGGTACAAACTTTTCCCTATAATTGGTTTCTTCACACTACCTGCTGGTGTCAAATTTTTTTCAAAACACTTCATCCACTGGTTTCATTTATCTCCCATGGCCACATTGATGGATTTGTTAAGGCTGATATCGGTTAGCAGGGTAGGGGTATCCCCTATCAAAGGAGAAGTAAGATTTGTTAAGGCTGATATCGGTTAGCGGGGTAGGGGTATCCCCTATCAAAGGAGAAGTAAGACGCCTCCTTTCCTCCGCTAGTCTACGGGACACCCTTGGGCAAGGTGGAGTACCCGTTTAGCCCCCCAATCAGGGTTACGTGAAGCCATGGAAGCAGGTGGTGGATGGAGTGTAAGAGCAGCCGACAGGTATTGTTGGTTATGGTCTGCACTCTGCGGCGATAGGCAGATGATCTCATCAGTAGAGACAATGGCTATGGCCACCGACTAGTATAGTCACTGCTCAGGAGGAAAGCAACGGCAAACTACCTTCTGCAAATTTTGCCAAGAACCCATAACAATCATGAAAGAAAACATAACACAGAAGAGATCTGGTGGCGAGACCCCCAGGCCAGGCAGATCAGATAACACTGGGGAAGAGTGTGATACAGGGGTCAGTACTAGTAATCGTGAATACAACGTAGAAGTGAAGAACCGTTTTGAGGTCTTGATGTCTGTACAAGAGGAAATGACACCTGATGAACTGGCGGTACAAGCTAGGGATATCTTGATAACAGCAGCTAAAGACTTAATACCCACCAGGACTAAGCAAAATAAACCATGGATCACACCATACACGTTAGAACTAATAAAACAACGAAGGGAACTGAAAAAGAAAGGAGAAACCAATGACAGTAGGATGAAGTATAAATTTTTAACACGAGAAATAAGAAAGTACACAAGAAAGGATAAAAATCAGTATGTACAAGATTGCTGTATTAAAATAGAGCAGCATCACAAAAATGGAAGAGATTACGAAATGTTCAAGGAAATGAAGTTATTGACAAGAAATTTTCAACCTCAGTTAAATGTTATTTGTGACAAGTTGGGAAATACTTTAACAGAATCTAGACAAAATTCTAGGAAGATGGCAGGAATACTGCAGCGGAATGTATGATATGAATGACAGTGAGGATATGAATGATATACATGAACCAGAAACAGTAGAGGCAGAACCTGAACCTTCATTAGATGAAATTTCATGGGCAATAAGGAGCCTGAAAAATGGTAAATCACCTGGATGTGATGAGATACCAGCTGAATTGATTAAAGCGGGAGGAGAAGAAAGCATAAAAATCTATCATGCATTATGTGAAAAGATATGGAAATATGGTATTTGGCCAAAAGACTGGAATAGAACTATCTTCATTCCAATACCAAAAAAGGGTGACCTGAAATTATGTACAAACTATCGAACTATTGCCCTGATCAGTCATGCAAGTAAAATTCTACTAAAAATTATAATGAGAAGACTGCAAAAGAAAATGGAAGAAGAGATTAATGTAGCTCAGGCTGGATTTAGACAGGGAAGAGGAACACAAGAGATCATATATTTAACATGCGTTTAATAGTAGAGAAGTGTAGAGAATTTAATGTAAATCTGTTCTTATGTTTTGTGGATTATTCAAAAGCATTTGACTGTGTACAACATCAGAAGCTTTGGGAAATCATGAGGAATATGGGCTTTCCATCACATATAGTGCAGCTCATTAAAATGCTCTATCAAGACCAACAAGCAGCAGTCAGAATAGATGGAGAGACATCAGACTGGTTTGGCATCAAGCAAGGAGTCCGTCAGGGATGTGTGCTGTCACCGTATTTGTTCAACCTGTACGCCGAAAATATAATGAGAAATGTAAGAGATGATATAAACAAGGAACAATATGATGCCCTAAACATCGGTGGTCATGAAATACCAGAAATTCGTTATGCTGATGATACAGTATTACTATCAACATCACAAAATGGTTTAGAAAACTAATTAACCTCACTCCAAAGAAATAGTGAAAATCATAACTTATTTCTTAACACAGCAAAAACAAAGATAATGCATACAAACAAAACTGCCATGGAGAGAGAAATATATGTTAATGAGGAAAGATTGGAAGTGGTGGAAAATTTCGAATATCTAGGGTCACTGGTTACCAACAATGGTGACACAATGAAAGAAATTTAAACGGCGACTATCAATTGCTCTTCAAAGACTAAAAACAACTGAATAAATTATGGAATTGTACAGATAGAATTACAAAGGTCAGATTTTTAAAGAGCATGCATCTTTCCCATTGCAACATACGCCTGTGAGACCTGGACACTTACTAAACAAGCGGAACAGCGCATAAATGCATTTGAATATAAATGTTACAGACAGGTTCTAAGAATATCTTGGGTAAAGAAAAGAACAAATGCATCCATACTTCAAGAGCTGAATATGAAGAGGGTTGGCTAGTAAAGACAATAAAACAAAGAAAATTGAAATATTTTGGTCACTTGAAACGTCATGGAGGTCTAGAGAGAACAATAATGGAGGGGTATATGCCTGGGAAGAGAGGAAGAGGAAGGCCAAGGAGAAGATGGGTGCAGGATGTGGCAGATGATCTCCAGATGGGTGTATCAGACGCAGGACATCTTGCTCATGATAGGAAGGTTTTCCGGAGGGTTGTTATGGCAGCGAGGTTCCGCGAGGGACATGCTACTGAATGAATGAATGAATGATATCAAGTGGTTGAATCTTAGTGCAGAGTTAAAAAAAGATTAAAAAGTAAAACAAGAACATTAGAACTAATAAACTGACCCCCAACAGCACACTGACTGACTGACTGTCTACCCCACCAGGACATCACACAAGCAATAAACACCCGATGACACAAAGTGCCACCATGTGGATGAGGATCACTGTGGAGAGGTTCCAGAAACCGCGTTCAGCCAATTGGCCATATATATGGCCTGGCTATATTGCGGCCTCTGGCAAGAGCCAGGGTGGGGCTTCAAATAACGAAAAATATTGTCCTAAAGAGGAAGGGAAGTTATAAGAAAACAACACACAGTAGCACATTGGACTTCACACCAGGAAGACTCTATAAACTTTAGTTTACCATTATTTCTTGTCTATTGTACTTATATACTTGAACAAACTAACTAAACAATTGAAATATGTAAGTAGATACTAAATTAAAGAACTCTGTATTAATAATAATAATAATGAGCCTGTATAAAAAGTATGTGATTAAAGACTTTGTTTCCTCATATACTAACACAATCTCCACTGACCCTCACTAACTAAGGTAACTGTTTGAATACAATATTAGTGTTTTATATTTGTCCCGTATGGTTCATTAGGGAATGTTAATTAATAAATGTGCAAATACAAATGTTGCTCTGAGATAGTTTATGATATTACAGAAACAATTTTTAAAAATTGGACTTGTATAACCTTTTGACAAAACTGAGTTAAAAATATAAATTTGACTTAAGACCAGTTCGACTTATGATCTGTTAGTAGGAACAGAACTCTATCATAAGTCGAGGAGCCGTTGTCATCACACTTGGAAGGTACTGCAGGGATCAAATTCCTGCGACCGTAGACACAGAGGTAAGGGAACTGATAGATCAGCATTCAAAACCAGAAGATATCATCATCTACACATTTGGATCCATGAAGTGCGGATCAAGGTCAGCATGGGCATACACAGCGTAAAGAATGGGGAAAACAATATGGGAGGACAGCGGCATTTACCAGACAACCACTACCATGGAAATAGCTGCTACTACTAGAGCATTATCATGGGTATCTGAGCAAACCGACAGACAGGCAGTAATTGTATCAGACTCCATGAATATGCTTCTGAAGATAGCAACAGGCGGTATGCACGCTGAATGGGTAGAAAGCATTCAAAAATTGCACTTAACCTCCCTCACCTGGATCTACACACCTCGTCATGCGGGGGTAAAGGGAAATGAGCGAGCAGATCTACTGGCAAGCATTGCACTAAGGCATGTGGGAAGAAGCATGGCAGAGCAGATATCATCCTTGGATCGGCTAGTGGATAATGAGGAATCCATGACATTAACACAATTGCGTGACATAGGAGTTAAGCATGGTGAAACACATATATGCCGTCTTCGAGGCCAAGACAGGAGACAATATAACCAGCTTCTCATGGGAATAATTAGTAGAAGTTTCTGTTGCTACAGGAACAATACGTCTGAGTTCATCTTTATGTTGTTCCACAGTAGATATTACGGAAACATCCAAGTTTCCCAGTACTTTCAAAATATTGTCCTTTGCTTCAGAGAACAAATTTGCCCTTTCAATTCCTATGGATGCTGTCAAACCAACTATCTGTGTATAGAAGTGAGACCATATGAAATTTAAGGAAATAATTTACAGACTGCACTTAAATAATCAATTATGGACAAAACTAAAACATCATCCATGAAGGAAAGAATGTCATCCAAACAGGCATGATTCCTCTGCAATCTTGCACAATTGTAATGCCACCTGAACAGCAGAACACAAATTACCTGCCATTTTGTTTAGCTAGTGATAGTTGTATGTCACCTATGCAGCATGGAGCCAAGGGTGAACATTAACGATGTTTAAAACTTAGAAAATGCCCTTGAGAAAATTGAATCCAGCATTTGATGGGTGATTTGGTCAACATCTGGTCGGCGATCTTTACTTCAGTATTTCTCAGTACCCATTTTAATCAACCTGGGAACCATAGGTCAAATTTTTTTATCTGACTGGTGGAGCGGATATAAACTATGAATGTCTAGCCACTAGACTACGCTGGCTGCCATGTCAGTATTTATTAGTCAGATTAACTGTTTTACATACATGTTGACACTTGTGTTATTTACCTGAGGCAGACAGATATTCAACACTTTGCCCTGAGTTTTTGCTTGATGAATCTGGTGCTTGGTCTTATGGTAGGAGCTCATCAAAGTGTTGTATGGTTCTCCCTTTCGCGTGTGGTGACATTCATCAAAGACTATCAATGAGAACATGCCGAGATCTGACAGCAGTTTTCTGGTGAGATGGTTTTCCAGGATCATTGGGGTCATCACTACAATGTCCGAATGAGGTAGCAGCATGTGGAGGCTCATGTTGTTTTTTCTGTCACCAGTGATAAGTGTGATCTGCATAGTAACAGCAGTAACAATTGTTCAGAATTATAGCAGTAATAAATGGTGAACATTTCAGCTGATTGTTCATGTGTACTAAGACACATTCAAATTAAAACACTCAGAAAGATAACATGTTCAACCCTATCACCCTGAGAAAGTTGTTTCTCTGGGTTTATGGGTTTTTAATATCATAAAGTCTTTAGGGAGTAGCCATTTAATGCTGCAGCTGAACAGTGTGAAGAGATGGTGGGTATAACTTAACTATATTATTTAACCCCCCCCCCCCCCCCCTCCACCAAACAAAAAATTTAGTAATTTTTTGGGGTAAAACAGCCATATTTTTTTTAGGGGGGAAGGGGGGGGGGACAATAAACTCATGATGAGGTCCCTTTGCTCTCTGTGGCTGTGTCACTAAAGTCCCAGTTCTCTTGGGCAAAGGGAAGGAAAAAAGTTTTTTCCTTGCTCTGTATTTAGTGATTACTTCCCTTCGCATCAAACAAATCACCTTTGCACAAAAAATGATTCTAAATATAAAAACCTTTTTTTTTAAGTGACTTGATGCCTCGATGACGCAACAGTTAGCAGCCTTACCTGTCTGCCTGATGGTTATATGTTTCAATTCCCTAATTTTTTTTTTTTTAAATACTGACTAAGACTCCAAATTACTTCTGCTTTTTTTTTTTTTTCTTCCTCTAGTTTCTTAGGATAGAGTTTCAGAAAACTATAATGATGTGTTTCTTTTTTAAAACAGTCAATTGAAAAAAAAAAAGGGCACTTTTCAAGATTTTTACAAGTGCACCAAATGTTCCAGTCAGCAGGGTACACAAGGGTAATATTTGGAGTCACCAATTATAATTTCTTAGGAGGATGAATAGGAGATCTGGGATATGTCATGGATTAGCATCCAGGATGTAACTTCAAAGGAGTGGCAAAACTTCAAGTAACAATCAGGAGGGGAAAACTCCACAGTTTTCTTGGTTCACACTGTCCCACTTAGTTTGTTAACTAAGTAGTGATTGACAGATGCTGCTCTAAATCATTTTCGTCTAGTTGTTCTATTTTGTTTCTAGAAAGCGATTATTTCTGTCCTTCTAAGACAGCAGTTCTCAACCTATGGGTCACGACCCTTTTCTGGGTCGAACCACACTTTTACATGGGTAGCCTAAGACCACTGGAAAAACATATATTCACTGAGGTTATGAAGTAGCAACAAAAATAATTTTATGGTTTGGGGTCACCACAACATGAGGAACTGTATTAAAGGGTCACAGCATCAGGTTGAGAACCACTGATTTATAATATGCAGATGAAACACCTGTCTGCTGCTTACAACTATATTCTTCTGGTGTTTATTTCTTTCCTTTTTTGTGCGGTTTAGAGTTTTAACATTTCCAGTTTTGTATTGCTCCAACAACTTTACTTTTACACAAACTTATCAGTTTGTTGCATGAGGACGCTTTTAACACCAGAGATGCATCAGGTGTATAATGCTAGATTCATATTTTTACAGGTTAATCAGCTCTCAGTGGGTATGTGGTCAAAACCATGTTTGTCACTTTTACTTCCCAGGACATTACCTGGTATCCATGTTAGGCTAGATCGACCTGTGAGGCAAGGCGAATCCTGGAAAAATATATGACTCTATACAGATTGAAACACAACATTTTCAGGATGATGTGTGAGTTTCCAGGCATTTCGCTACTGTTTCTCCCATAAGTCTCTTTATTAATTTTTTTCTTCTTCTTCTTCTTCTTCATGTTCCCTGGCTGTAAACTCCGGCGGAAAGATCTGGCTAATCGTCCACTTCTGGAATTTAGTCTGGTTCCAGAACTTAAGTTTCGCTTGCCATCCATTTTACAGATCTGGCTTATTTATATGCAGACTGTTGGTTCCTTGTCTTCAGGCAGATGCACTCTAACTCTAAAGAAACACCACTAATTAGTTGACTTTTATGACATGCTTGTTGGGGGCAGTGGGTCTGTTCTTTTTTCTACTAAAATGGGGGCACTGTAACCCACATAAGGCAATGAAACCCACATAAGGCATTGGAACCCACATAAGGCATTAGAACCCACATAAGGCATTAGAACCCACATAAGGCATTAGAACCCACATAAGGCATTAGAACCCACATAAGGCAATGAAACCCACATTTGGAACCCACATAAGGCATTAGAACCCACATAAGGCATTAGAACCCACATAAGGCACTGGAACCCACATAAGGCTTTGGAACCCACATAAGGCATTAGAACCCACATAAGGCATTAGAACCCACATAAGGCATTGGAACCCACATAAGGCAATGAAACCCACATAAGGCATTGGAACCCACATAAGGCATTAGAACCCACATAAGGCATTAGAACCCACATAAGGCACTGGAACCCACATAAGGCTTTGGAACCCACATAAGGCATTAGAACCCACATAAGGCATTAGAACCCACATAAGGCATTGGAACCCACATAAGGCATTGGAACCCACATAAGGCATTAGAACCCACATAAGGCATTGGAACCCACATAAGGCATTGGAACCCACATAAGGCATTGGAACCCACATAAGGCATTAGAACCCACATAAGGCATTGGAACCCACATAAGGTATTGGAACCCACATAAGGTATTGGAACCCACATAAGGCATTGGAACCCACATAAGACACTGGAACCCATATAAACACTTTATTCATTTAAGAATGTGGTGTTTATATATAAGTAAATTATCTACAGACTGCCAACATAACTTTCAAATTCTCACGACAGGCCAGAGTGAAATAAAGGATAAAATAATTACCTCATAACTGGGTAAATATTTGCACAGAGATTTATACTGCTGTTCAGCCAGTGGAACTGTCCTAGCAAGAAAAGCCACTTTTTTCTCCCTGTCTGATGAGAATAAAGATAAAGTGGATGCTGTTATATTTGAACAAAAATCAAGGTAAAATGACCAGATTATATACAAGATGTATTGTTAAAATGGTTCATTAATCATGTTGACTTCGATTGCATTACATGTACACATTCACTGCCAAAATTTTACATTATTCAAGTTTACCCCTATCAATGTAAATAATTTTTACTTTTATTTTTTTTTTTAGCACCAATCCATGATTTTTATGCGCGCGCGTGCATGCGTGTGTGTCTGTGTGTGTGCATGTGCGTGCATGCACGTGTGTGTGCGCACGCGTGCATGTGTGTGTGTGTGTATTTATTTCAAAGATGCTTAGTAGTTATTTCTGTGTGTTTTCCACTCTTTTGCTTTTTTAGAAAGCCATTACCTGATCCTGTATGCACTTATTTAACACAATACCAGAATTGTTTATCAAATTTTGTTTAAATAAAACACTAAATGATTCCATATACTTTTAATTTAAACTAACGCCAATGCATTGTCATTGAAAAGCGCATGGGGCCGGAGAGCTGGCTAGGGAAAGGGATGCATTCAGGCGTGCCGTGAATAGAGCGACATTCGGTAAAGCACGTACCCAATTTGCATTTCCCAGTAAAATATAACTAACTGACTATGTAAGAGCAGCTACAATAAAAATGTATGGCAAATATTTACATGTTACAAAAACATTTGAATTTGGTAACCAATCTGACTGATACAGTTTTATAGTTAATTTATGGTCAAGAAATAAATAATTTCCAAATGTTCACATTTATTAAGACAAACACTATGGGAAACACATCATTAGAAATGATCAACCTCTGGTGCTAAAAAACTGTGTTGATTTAGGAACTAATATCACAGTACTTTTTTTTTTTTATATCCTAATCCTTGCTTAAGACAAACTATTTAGTGTTTAAATTACTTAACATTATTTCAGTGCGGCGTCCGTGACTAAGGCGTTGCGAGTCCAACTCGTAATCCAACGTACCGCGATCGAAACCCACTGCGGGCTGCGTAGATTTTTATCATGGTATGGGACGTCGCAGGTCGACCTAGCCTCACATGGGTACCAGGATGGCTGTCCTGGGGAAGTAAAGACGGCCGGTGTAATGCTGACCACATTACCCACCATGTGCCAATTGGTCTGTAAAAATATGGGATGCTCTGCCAATTTGCCCAATGCGCTTTAGGCATAATAAGGGATCTCAATTCTAGATAGATTATTTCAGTGGTTCAGCAATAATAAATTACAACGTCTAAACTCATGATAAAAATGTTTTCATATTTCACATAGGCTATACATTTTTTGAATTAAAAATATTAAATAGATTATTTTATTCCTTTAAAATACGAAAGATATTTGTTCTAAAAAAAGTAAAATTACGTCACTGAGGTATAACAACATTTATGTCCTAGCTTTACTACAGATATACTCACCGCCAGGATTCATCAAATGATTAGATATGATGTAAGTTGCGACTCTTGTTTTTCCAGAGCCAGTCGGTGCACATATAACTGTGTTTTCTCCACGAAGTGCACTTTCTGCCAGTTCTTTCTGGTAATTCCTTAATTCTAATTCAACAGCATCGGGCAATATTTCATCGTCTGATGGAAAAAACAAGTCAAAAGTAATAATTTTAAATATTTAATCATATGCTTTTTAGGTGAGTGTAGTGGCTAGATGCTACCCTGATGATCTGAAGGTCTTGCATTTTGCATCAAATCGGATTTTATTTCCAAAACTGACCTTAGCTCCCAGACTGACCAAGTCTGAAATGGATACAAAGTAATTTCCTGGTAAATAAATGCAGCCGGCATGACGCTGAGCACATCATCCACCTATGCTGAGAGGTCTAAAACAAAAGTATGAATCTAGCATTACCTACCTCATGTACCTTTGGTGTCAAAGGGTCTTTTACTTTTGTCTTTTTTTTATGTGTCTAAACGTAAGTCAAATAATGCAATTTTATAGCAAGCATGATTCAATCATTACGAAAATATTTTTTCTGTTATGCCTGGACAAATCTAAAGATGCAAACAATTCAGCAAACCAATGGCAGAAATATTGTTACAATCACTGCATATTTATTTTCAACATTTTTGCTTTTTTTGTGTGTGTGTGCCTAAAATGTGGTGTATGTGGTAATAAGCAGGCTGAAAGACTAGCTGCTGCTGCCTCACTGGGTGGTGAGCTACTTTCCGGTAAAGCGGACGTACTGGAGTGAGCAGAGGGTCCGGACAATTTTTTGAATGAAGGGGAAAAAACAGGCGAACTTTTAAATGTTGCAACTAGCACTACCAGTTCAAGATCTCTTCACTGGCCACTAAGGAAGGAGACGGAGCACTATGGGAATGTCCAGAGTGCACTGACATCAATTCTTGATTCATTTAATCATTAATTCATACGTACCTGTTATTTCTCCATCAGAGAAGTATTCTTCTTGTTCACTGTCTTCTTCACTGCTTGCACTGTCCTCTTCATGATTTGCGATTAAAATAGATTCAGGATTTATAGCACCATTATTCATCATTTGCTGCCAGGGTAATAGTTTCCTCTCTTCCTCAGACAGCAAAATGACCCTACCAGTAGCTGAAAACATAGTTAGTGATTTTAAAATTACCCAATTATGAATGGATGGCTTGACAAAATATAAAAACTCATGCTGTACCAAACAACTCCGAATGTGTGATAACTTCATACATTATATCCTTTTCCTAACACTGTATGCCTCATCCTGCAGTTACCTTGCTTCACTACATGCAAAACTGTTGTTTTTAATTGTTTCATGTTAGTATTTTTATTTTCTTTTCTGACACAACATGTGTTAATTGAAAATAACAAGTGGTGTGAATAAATTAGGGAAAACAATAAATATCTGGTGTTAATTTAGTTAAAGAAATGTAAGAGAAAACTAAAACATTATTCAGAAAACAAGCAAAAAATTATTCATATGTGTAAAATAATTCATAGCTAGGAAAGGGAAAGAAAACAATTCATGGCATTACAGAAGTTAGTAACTAAGGAAATAACATGACCAGAAGAGAGAAAATCAGGAATGAGGTCATAACAGAAAGAGTCAAAATAGAACTTGTAGTGAACTAAATTTAAAGACAGTAAATAAAATGGTTCAGCTCTTAAAAAGAAATCCTTATGATGACATATTATACAAGACTACCAAAAGTGGACAGAGAGCCCAAGGTAAACCAAAAAGAAGGTAAAAATATAGCATCACAGAAACTCTACAACAATATCAAATGTCACAGGCTGAGGCAACCAGAAGTCTGAGAATCAACACTGCATCTCCCTCAACCCCTAAAGTGGTCAAAGTAAAAGTAAAGTAAAAAAAAGAAAGAAATACTGCAAACAGAAAGCAAGACGAACTGATTCATGAGAAAAATTCTTTCCTCTCAAACTCTGCCGCTTTCATTAATCTCTTGATGCTCAATCATTATTATCAACAGAATCATTAGTTGCTGCTTATTTGATGAATCTATTAGGGGGCTGTGTGGTCTCGAGGTATGGTGTCCGCCTTGAGTGCTAGAGGTCCCAGGTTTAAGTCCCGGTGAGGGCTGGGATTTTTTCTGTTCATGTGGACTTAAGTAATTTTCCCTGGTCTCTGGTTAGTGAGATTGGACACTCATTTGTATTGTTGCGCACGTAAAATAATTCCTTGGCAGTTGGAAATCGAAAAGAGTAGCCTAACGGTGCTGCCTGGGCAAAATTTGGAGTTTAAAATTTACCCAAAATATTTCAGAATCCTCGCCGGTGCTATGGAGCCCATGCACTGCGCTAAGCTACTGCGGACTCTGACTTGAGTTAAAAGTATAATGGAGCACTTATGTGTTACTACCTGTGTGTCCATGATGTTGATCCGTTGTTCAAACCTCAAATCTTGCTGAATTTATTATTCATGAATCTACTGATTAATTTCTTGCTCTAATAACTTTTATTTAACAAATAACATACGTGTCTACTGATTACATAATGGATGAAAAACTGTATTAAAAATTGCTAGGGTTTGTTTTGGCAAATCAGATTACATTACTTACACTGGTCCTCATTATCGCTGGAATCCATGATCTTGTGATGGGGATATCAGTTTACAAATCTGGTCACTTCTAGCTCGTCTATAAAACAGAAAAAAAAAAATAGTTAAACAATGGTTAAAAAACATAAAATTAATATGCCAAGGAAAAACTACAAGTTCAAAATAAAATCCACCAATGAGGTATTGTTTCATATAAAAGTAATCCTTGGCATCTAAAAAAAAAGGATAAGTAACAGACACAAAAAGGTCACTGCTTTAAGGATTATGTAAACACTCATTGTGCAATATCTCTGTCATAATCACAACCCAAAAGGTGTGAACAGGACAACATCTCAGTTATTAAAGAAATTAACTGCATACACGCCTTAAAGAAATGATTATCCAATACACAAAAAAAACTATATTAAATTTCTAACACTAAGATACAGCAGCCATTAATAATTTATAGAAACTGAGACCTTGAATAACTGTTAGACATTGAATGTACAAGATTTTTAAATATGTATTTGATTTTATGTGTATAAATATGTTCTATTTTTATCCACTGTTCATTTTCGAGATCATCTTCATATCAACATGACCACTAGTGCTCCGATCTCCTCCTGAGTATGTGTCCGAGTGTTTTTAGGCTAACAACTCCCATTCCGTTCTGGCTGATGTAACCACAGGTGGCTCCCGCAGCAGTTCTATTTTTATTACTTATTAGTACAAATGATAATAGGTCATGTATATTCTAATAAGAGAACCGCCATGGTGTAGCAGTTAGATGCTCGTGTGTGGGTCTGAAAGTCGTGGGTACAAATCCAGACTGTAGTGAACATTTTTCAAAAATGACCCTGACTCCAAGGTCGACCCAGCCTCAAATGGGTACCAGGCAGAAGTGCTGAGAAGCAAAGGGGTCCAGCATGATGCTGACCATATCATCCACCAAGTACCAATTGGTCTATAAAATATAGGTCTAGCCCTGTATGCCAAATATGCCAAAAGGCGGAAACATTTACTTTACCTACATTATAATACAGTAATTTTATATTATATATGTTACATTATATTGTAATTCATTCAACAGGGAAAACTGGGTCCTTGATGTTGGTTGGCAGCCTGTCTAGCAGAAAGGCTCCTACAGGGGGACAGAGGGAAAGATAGTGCTACCTGTGCAACATTCGGTCTCTAAAATTCCTAATTGTGTACTGAGAGGAGAACCTTCAGCCATGGCCTAAATTGTTTGCCTTGGGCTGCTGATCCCATGCCTCCCTGGAAATACTACTGTCTAGAAAGTTGCAAACACTAAACAAAGCAAAAACAATTCATTCGATAAACATCTCAGCAGCAGTAGTAGTATTTTAATCACACATATCCTGTTCAGTTTTTATAAGTAGCAAAAGGGTTGTGTAGAGTTTTTATGTTTTCTTATTAGTTAGTTAAATTAGATAATTATGTTTGCCTAATTATATACATCACAGCATTCAATTTATTATACATTTAACTGAGAATACAGCCAAACAAATACCCCTTTTCAGGCTCACTGCCATGAACAAAATATAGGCAGGGGGGAGGGCCCTAAATGGCAAAAAGAGGGGAGGGAGGGGAAACTGACCATCACCACCTAGGCAAATACAAAATCAGCCAAGATGCCACCTCTAATCATGTACAGAAATATTATTTTTAAAGTTTTTGTTTATAGAGTTCATATTCATCATCATCATCTCGTAAAACTACGTGTCATTGGGTCACCAGTTTCTGTTGACTGTCTGATCAGTTCTCTCCACCTTTGGCAGTCAATTGCGATGGACTTCATGGGTGCATGCCTGAGGCCTGTCTCAGTCAGGTTTTGTAACCAGGTCTTTCTTGGGCTGCCTCTTTTCCTCTACTGAGCTCTGCGGTATTGTTTTTGAGAGGTTTTCATATTACTTAAGTATATTATCATGTTTATTTGCCAATTATCATTATCACATTATTTTTTTTTTTGTTATTATCATTATAAATGCTGAATGACAAATACATATATTAATATACTTGAAATAATATGACACACATAAACAAATACATTTAAAGAAAATGTACATACATGGTTAAAGGGAACCTCTTTGTCTCCTTACAAAATTATTAAGATGGGATTGGATTGGTGGAGCCGAACTCCCAGTTAATTCTTGGGCTCAAGAAAGCTAGGTCGCTGGTTCCCGCTCTTATTCCCCTTATGCAGACTGTAACAACTTTTTCAACTGTTGAATTTTAGTTCTGAACTAGTACTAAATTACTCCAATCCATGCTATAAAAATGCAACCGGTGTTTATGTTAATTGTCAAATGGTACCCTTTGAACACTGATAAATCCCATTCCGAAAGTCATATATTTATTTCTAAACTTTAAAGATGACCATGAATGTAAAGGCAGTCGCCGTGGCCGAGCGGCTAAACGGAACGGAAGGTTGTGGGTTTGCTCCCTGGCAGAGCAGACTTTTTAAAAAAAATGACCTTGGCTCCCAGGTCGACCCAGTCTTGAGTGGATACCAGGTGCAGTCCCGGGAAAGTGAAGGCGGCTGGCGTGATACTGACCACACATCACCCATCTTGTGCCGATTGGTCTATAAAATATAGGTCTAGCCCTTTATTCCCTATATGCATAATGCGTGGAAAAGGGTCCTTTACTTTTTTTTTTTACTTATGAATGTAAGACATACAAAGAATTCATTACAACTAAGTAGGGTTTTTATAACTAGAATGTCTTTGCACTGGAACCCACAGGGCATAGAAAAAAAGGCAGACCCCCCAAAAAAACATGGACTGGAGAAGTGAGCTAGACAGCAAAGGTAATAAGATGGGGAGGATATGGGGTGAGCTGCATACAATGGCGAAGGATATCCTTCCCTGCAATTTAATGTCTTTATTAACTGAGATATTGTTGGCATGAGTTGGCCTATAGGTCCATTTGGGAATATAAGGCAGAAGAAGAAACAGCAAAGCTTTTTTTTCTTTATATATATATATATATATATATATATATATATATATATATATATATATATATATATATATATATATAATTAAATATATCCACACAAAAAAGGTGCCAGTACTCGCCATAAAGTGTCTATTACAGGAATGCTGAGTGGGAAGATTATGCTGAAAAAGTATTGGTACTACGTGGTGAGAGAAAACAAACACCTGCAACTAAGTAATCTAAATATACATTACGTTACTGCACAATGACAATCATCTATTCACGAAAAAACAGCAAGCAAACTAAACTCGTCCTCGACGACTCCTGTATTATATACCGCCCCTGTTTCAAGGAAACGCCACCAAACTCGATGGGATTTCCAACTTCTCACTGGTAATAACGAAACTGGAACAACAAGAATATGAAACAGAAAGAAACAAAAACATGAATACAGTTCTGAGAAATAAATGCCTAGGGTATTTTATACCCACAAACATCATATCATCATGTCTTTTAAAATGGTTCAATCTGTTTGGAGAATTGTAAAATGAAGTATGGCTAAAATT